GCGCGATCTTCGTAGTTGCAGCAATTGTAAGCTGGCTTCCAGATGAGATATATGGAGGGATCAAGATAAGACATTTTAAGGTACACTCTTGCTAAAATTCCTCGTTAAACGTCAATGTTGGGTTATTACATGGAAAAATCTATAACTGGTTTTGGTTCACATATATATTTTCAGAACATATCATATATTCATTGGCATCGTAAAGGAGACTATCTTTCAACAGTCATGGCATCCGGCGAAACACGAGGCGTTGTAACGCACCAAATCTCAAAAAAGCTTACAGACAAGCTCCCATTCAAGATCCGTGGACTTCCTGTCTGTACAGTATTTCATCCCAGCCGTTCCTTTATCTTCATTGCTACAAGAAAGAACGTGCGTGTTTACGACCTGTTAAAGGCCGACGGGCCCATCAAAAAGCTTGAGACTGGAATGAGAGAAATATCATCCATGGCGATTCATCCTGGTGGTGATAATCTGATAGTAGGAAGCAAAGAAGGGAAGATGTGTTGGTTTGACATGGATCTATCTTCGAAACCATACAAGACTCTCAAGAATCATCCTAAAGACATTACGAACGTTGCTTTCCACCGTTCGTATCCGTTATTCGCTTCGTGCTCGGTGGATTCAACAGCTTATGTGTTCCATGGTAAGGTGTATAATGATCTCAACGAGAATCCTCTGATTGTGCCATTGGAGATTCTTAGAGGCCATTCTACTAAATCAAATGGAGGAGGTTTGTTTTTATAACAACACTATTATGCATAATTATATGTTTGGTAATTTGTGCTTATGGAATTTTGATTTTAATGGCAGGAGTTTTGGACTGCAAGTTTCATCCGAGACAACCATGGCTATTCACTGCAGGGGCTGACTCAATTATCAAACTCTATTGTCACTGATTTTAATATTTCTCAAAACCCTATTTTTGACAGTTTTCTTCTCTTTTTAGTTTTGTTGTATTCACCACCTATCACACATTGCTCTACTTTTTTTTGTATTGAAAACAAATCGATTAATGTATTTCTTCTGCATTATAAGGGTTATAATTATTTTTCTGTATTGATCAATCGTACAGGTGGATAAAACGTAGGTAGTGTAGTAACAATTCTCTTTGATGAAACTAATTGCAAAGAGTTCGCATTAATAAAGCTGAGTAATAATAAATATACGGGATTAATACTCATCATAACTTTTAACATTTTTTTTTTTATTATGATTCACTAATCACTATAATTTATTTCATACTGTAAGCTTTCTCTATTACTAGTATTTTATCGAGTAGGAACTACAATCTGATAATCATAAAAACAAACTCTAAAAGTTAACGATTGACCGGTAAGTCTCACCAGCCTTCCAATTCGCCGGAATAACAGCCTGAGCGACGACTACTTTATGAGTCTCGCCGGAAGTAAGTCTAATGCTGAATGGACCTCTCAAAGCACCGCCGGAGTTTAGCTTCCACACGGCGGACCTCATTTCTTGCATGTGGATAAATTTTCCGCCGGCCGGTTGAATCTCAACGTAGGCCAAATCTCCCTCACCGTTTTCGTATTCCACAACAAATGCCAAGTAAAATGGATTTGCTCCGGCGTCCATACGGAAAGCTATACTAGTCCCTCTATATAAACAAGGAGCACTGGAAAATAAAAACAAAAAATCAAAATTATTTAAGGTTCAGAACATAATCGAAAAATATTAGAAAAAAGCTGATTATTATGGATTAATGTTTCTATACACACTTTTAATTCAATCGCATAAAAATGTGAAAACTTGATGAATGTTTTAAATGATAAAAAAAGGTGTAATTAATATATCAAACCGTGTCTAATAACGAATATGAACCGAAAGAAAAGCTTATGGATTATGGTTTTTGTCCAGTCCAATATCAAATTGGAAATGTTCATAAAAAAGAAAAAAAAAATTGAAATTGGGTTGGTAAAAGAAACATCAACAATTTAAGGAGAATAAACTCTGATTTATACGTACCGTCTGAAACTAACACGAAGAACACCAGCGGCTCGAAGTTTACCGGCTTGGCCAGGTTTGGCTAAGGCACCGATGGCTTTTCCGCTAAGGTCAAAGTGGGTTTGCTCGGAGGCGCATGGACCGCCGGGGCACTCGTCAGTTATCGTCACCGTTACTGGTCTCCCCGAACACGCTGGATTCCCGGTGCACACAATCTAAT